GGAGCCACCGCGCGCCGGGCGCACCGGGTCCTCCGCACTCCCCGCGGCGGGGCTGCGCTCCCGCAGAGCTGCGCCCGGCACCCGCTTCCCTCCCTCTCCCCGCAGGGGAAAGCGACACCGCCGGCCGGCCACTCACTCACTCACTCACCTCCGCAGCCGCGTGGCGTAGCCTCCGCCTCGGACCAGCGCTGACAAGTGACTCGCCCGGCTGGCGCGGTCCCTAAGGCCTGCGGGGAACTTCCGCCTGTTCCCTCTCCAGGCCACGCCCCCCTGGAGGGGGCCACGCCCCTCTGCGTTCTGCCTCGCCCCAGCGCTGGGACACACCCCTTGGTCCGGCCACGCCCTCCTCCAGCTCTAGCCACGCCTCCCCCGGGGCCAGGCGAGGATGGTTTTAACCAGAAGCTAAGCTCTCAGGCTTGCTGGGACCAGCTTGGAGCTGCGTGGGAAAAACTTCTGCTCTGTGGAGTTTCGGTGGGAATCGTCTTAGGGGGATTCCGAGCAGTACCTGGCAAAGACAGAGACCTTGCCTTTCACGTGTCTGATTTCTACTGGAATGCATGTCTCTCCCCAGAAACTTGGCAAGTCGTTGCTCTGATTAAAAATAGCAAGGGGCTTTGGATAAATCCCTGTCGGTGCAAGCTGGAGGACTCCTGCCTGGGTTTTTATTTGTTTGTTTGTTTTGAGAGAGCTTTATATACTCTTGAGAAGTGTAAACCCTGAAGTTCACTTGTCAGGAAGGTGAAAATCGCCTGCCTTAATAATGCAGAAGGTAAATCTGTCATCACACCAAAAGGCAGTGATAGCAAATGACAGCCAAAGCTGATTCAACTGCTAGATCCTCAGCTTATTTTTCTAAGCCCATTCCATAGCCTGTTTCCTCGCTTCTGTAAAGTTGCTTGAATGAGCCTCAGGAATTCACTCACCAGCAAACATCAGTACTGTTCAGTTACCACACAAATAGTGACTTGCCATCTCTCTTACATTTTGAATCTCTCCCGTATAACCAATGTAAGTTACTAGAAAAAAAAAATACCCCCTTCCCAAAAAAGAAAAAAAACAACTGGCAACTATTTGCAAATAACTTCTTGCATGCTAAGCAGTGCAGTAATTCCTTCAACAAAGGGGGTGACTATCATCCCAATGTTTAGATAAGAACAGCAAAATTGTAAGGGATTATAATTTATGACAGGGCTAAAAGCAAGCTTGTAAATTACAAGTTGCTTTCCCTGTTTACTGCTGCTAAGTAAATGGAGCCTCAATCAAGGAAAATTTATCAAAGACAGCCAGAACTACAGGGTATCTATGGAAGAATAAGCATCCGGGGATGAACCTGAAGAGAGTGAACACAGTTTCACTTCTGCAACTGTCTTAGTCCTCATGGCAAGCTTGCCTCTGAACCTCCTCCTGCTGCCCCAGTGCAAAGCCTGAGGTAAAAGAGAAAACGAACCAAATTCAGGCATCTTGCTTATGCTCATACTTATCCAAGGGTTCTCTAAGCGACCACCTGTACTAAAAAGACACAGACAACGTATGGCGGTTACAGTTTCCTGTGTCCCATTGGAGACCTATAATCAACCCTTGGATGTAGGCCCCAGCCTTTTGAACAGTCATTGCCTCCCAGACTTCCAGGTAATTATTAAACTTCTAGGTTTAAAAACTACTTCTCCATATCCCTGTTTACTGAATGAGAGAATTAAGTGAGACCTAGACATATTAAGTAACAACAACTTACCTCAATTTCCTCTTCTTCAATGAAATTATAATAATAAATAACCCTGGGAGGTTATCATAAGGAATCCAGACTATATAGTCCTCCCCAGTATCCCTCCTGGAATTGATTCTAGGGCTCCTTCATGTGCCAAAATTCTTGGATGTACTGTACTACCAGCCCTCCTGTAAGATGGCATAGTACAGGTAGTCTACACATATCCTTCAGTGTGCTTTAAATCACTTCTACATTACTTTCCTATACAATTAAAGAGTGACATTCATAATTATACTGTATTCTAGGGAAAATGCTCTCTCAAAATAAGTCTGCAGATCCATGTAGCTGATCTTATTTTTCAAATATTTATTTCTGCTAGTTTTCATCCCTGCTTACTTGAATCTTCTGATATAACGCTTTCAGGACTACATGTACTACACTACTATATGTAGGGCTCACTACATGTATACACTATCACAAAGCATATCTGTTGCCACATAGATGTGAAGTGGCAGCTTCTAATCAACTGATAAGATTATGTATCATAAAAGTCGGAGAGTGAACTTTAGGATTCACTCTGCATGTAATATGTGCTTGGTGTTTTATGTCTAATCATTTTGTTGGATTCTTACAACAATATAAAGTACATGTTCCTTCACAGGAAAAAACATTTTTAGAGACTAAATTTAACCATTTAGCCAGGTACCGGTGGCTCACACCTGTAATCTTAGCTACCCAGGAAGATCTGGATGATTGTGGTTCACTGACAGCTCCAGTAGAAAGATCCACAAAATTCCATCTACAAAATAAACAGCAGAAAAGTCGGATACTCTGGCTCCAGTGGCTCACCCCTGTAATCCTAGCTGCACAGGAGGCTTGAGATTTGAACACCATGGTTCGAAGCCACCCTGGGCAAGAAAATCTCCATGAGACTTTTTTTTTTGCCAGTCCTGGAACTTGAACTGTGCACTGTTGCTCAAGGCTAGCACTCTACCTACTTCAGCCACAGGGCCACTTCCGGCATTTTCTGTTTATGTGGTCTGAAGAATTGAACCCAGGGCTTCAAGCATGCTAGGCAAGCACTCTACCACTAAGCCACATTCCCATCCACCATGAGACTCATCTCTAGTTAACCACCAGAAAACCAGAAGTGGAGCTGTGGCTCAAAGTGGTAGAGCTCTAACCTTGAGTGAAAAAGCACAGGCTTAGCACACAGGCCCTGAGTTCAAAATCTATGACTGAAAAAAAGAACACAAACTCTTCATCAACACACTGTGATTTGGTAAATTTGGTAAATGTCTATCCTAAAATCCGAAGATAGAAGATGAAATCATATGAAAAATAGGATGAAATGAATTTTACAGAAAATTAGGAAGATAAGGTAAATGCTGGGGATGTTAGTATAAATGAGTAAAAATGAGATTCTTGAATCATTTCCAGTAGCGTATAGACCATAACTTATTTTATAATGAATTGTCACTGGGTGTGACATCACTAGCAGGAAGATAAAGGCATCATTGGGAAATCCAGCATTGTTAAATCCAGCCTTGTTAAAAGCTTATTAAAAGCCATATTAAAAGCTTAACCTCATCAAAACCAGTACCTGTAACCCTAGCCACTCAGGAGGCTGAGATGTAGAGGACCAGACAGTTTGAAGCCAGCAGGCAGAGAAGCTCATTAGACTTCATCTCCAAAAGAGCAAAAACCTGAGCTCAAGTAATAGAACACCAGCCTGGCCTACAAGCTAAGCAAGCGTGAGGCCCTGAGTTTAAATACTGGTTTCAAAAATAAAAGCATATGAAAAGCTAGAGAGGAAAAAACATCAAAAGATTCCAATTTTTTTTTCAGAAGAGAGTTTTCAGAATATTCCATCTATTTACATATGTGTATAAACATTTACTTTTACATTTTATTATTCAAAATATGACTCGGAACCTCTTGCAGCACTTCAAAAATAACAGAAATGTTTAATCACAAGATGGTATGACCATGACAAGATTTTACAATCATATCCAATACAGTATAAATTGCCAGTCTTTTAAAAGTCTCTACAGTACTCCAAGTCAATTTGTCATTTAAGTTCTAATTCTGAAAAGTAAAGAAACCACTCATAGGGATGAAGTTTAATATTTGGAATGAGGAGGAAACACTAACGTTCTAATTTTTTTTAATGGGCCAGAGCATGGTAGTACAAACCTGTTAGCACAGGTAAGTATCTGAGGTAGAGATGTAGACAAATATGGGGGGAGGGACGGGAATTAAGGAAAACTATCTCAAACAAGCAGAGCAAGTAGAGTATGGTGAAATCCCAATCACTTAGCAGGCCTGAGGCTGACCTGGGCTAAAGTTTGAGACCCTATCCAAAAAATAACTAATGCTAAAGCCAACAACAGTCAGGGGCTTGGCCCATATCACAGAGTGACTGCCTAGCAAGCACAAGGCCCTGAGGTCAACTCCCCACTACTCTGGGGAGAAAAGGAAAGAGAAGGAGAGAGAAGGGGGGGTTAGAGGAGATGGAGAATGAGAAGGAGGAAGAGGAGTGCAGGAAGGGAAGAAAGGGGGAAGGAGAGGGAGAGAGGGAACTAAGGAAGGGGAGCAGGGGAAAAGAGGGAGAGGGAAGGGAAAGGGGAGAGAGAGAGGAGAGGAAGTAGGGAAGAGAAGGAGAGGGAGGAATGAAGAAGCAAGGGAGGAAGAATTTAGTCATCTGAAGAGAAACAGAAGGCGCCAGGCCATTGCTAAAGCTACGAATGAATCCTGAAGAAGAGCAGGATTGAAGCTGTCATGGATTCAGGGCAAAAGAATCAAAGAATGAGAAAAAGGTAAGAGCAGATGAAGGAAGTTCAGGTAATAGAGTAAATGGGCAATTAAGGAAAAAGTTAAAAGTTTAATTTAGCTCTCAGTATTTCAGTCTCAGGACTGGGGATGCTATTAATCATTGCTGTTGTTGAAGGAGAAAAATTTGAAGACACTGTAGATAAGTAACAAGAGTCAGTTGGTAGGTGAGTGTGAATAAAAAAGAAGACAGATAGGAAGCTTAATGAAGAAACCATAAGGAGTTCTGAGTTTGAGACTTCCAAAGAGGAGGGATCCAAGCAAGGTACAGCCAGTATGATGTCTTCCTCGTGTAAACTGAAATTACAGAAGAATCTGTTGGATGAGAGGATAGAGAACAAGTATGGTTTTGGAAAATGCATGGGGCCAGTCATCAAGAAGGATTGGTACATGAAGATGTTATCCAGAAAATAATAAATAGACCTGAAGTACAGGCTCCCAAAGAGGCTAATGCATGTAGTCCTAGCTACTCAGGAGGGGAGGTAGAAATCAGGAGGATCATGTCTCTAGGCTAGTCCAGGTAAAAAAAAAGTCAGTGATATCTCATAAAATAAGCTGGGCATGAAGATGAATATGGAGCAAAGCTAGAATTAATTTAATTTAAACATCATGTCAACTCTGCTGCGTTGTATAAATGTATATCCCTTGGCATTTAATTTCATAAGATTGTGGGAGATTCCTCAAAGCTACACTCAGATATGAAAGTTAACAGCTGGAAA